CCTCATTATTGCCTCTTCCATTATTTACAGCAATGGAGATCACTGGGCAGGGAGATCCCAGGAGGAAACTGGTCAGAGAAGCTGCAGGGTGACAGTATGTGCCTGTCCTCTTACTAGCTTTGTTTGGATCCTTATGAAATGTCCATGTTATCAGGTAAAACTGAACAGAAAGTATTAACAAGAGTAAGAAAAATATTCATAGTGCTTTTCCCCACAAATAAGAAAGCTGTCAAGCTCTCTTTTATCTAAATTTCTCTCCCTTCTTCACGTTTTCTACCAATAAACATGTTGAGACCCCACAGCTTTCTCTTGGTCCACTTGAACTGATGACACTGGGAAGCTTATAAACAACAGAAATTTATGTCCTACAGTCTGAGAAGCCCAAGACCAAGGTGTCAACGTAATCTACTTCCTGGTTCATGAGTGACATCTTTCTCTGTCTCCACATGGAGGAAGAGGTGAAGGAGCTCCCTCAGACTTCTTTTATAGGAATCGTAACCCTACCTGTAAGGGTTCTACCCTCACAATAGAATTGTCCGTGAAATAGTTCACCTCCACAGGCTGTGAGTTAGATTACAGCGTATGAATTTAGGGCTGACACAAACACACTAAGAAACAGATTCTTTTCCTGTCACAGTCTTCACAACAACACAAGGAGACTAGCTCTCCACTGTTGTTGGTGTTTGATGCTGGGGCACGAAACCCCTGATAGGGTAAGAGACCCACACTTCTGTGGCAGTGGACAAGAATGCTGGCTGCCTCACGAACTCCGCCCAGGGTAGTCTATATTTATGTTCCATTGTGGTTTTTCTGGACAGTTTCTTAGAACCTGTCTCAGCAGAAAAACCATAGGACCAGTCTGCTCCTGTGTGGCTGTAAACACAAGCTCATTGGATCTTTCTTTGTTCTCCCGTGTCCACTGGTAACAAATGCTAGAACACACGCAAAACTGGCTTTTTGTGAGCATCTCCAGAGACCTGACTTCTTTTTTCTTTCTCTCTTATTATTATTGTGTATGTGTAATTATGTGTGTGTGTAATATCTGTCTGCAGAAGTCAAACGACAACTTTGTGGAGTTGGTTCTCTTCTTCCACCTTTACGTAGATTCTAGGGATTCAATTCACATTGCCAGGCTTGCATGGCTCACGCCTTTACCTGCTGAGCCAACTCACTGGCCTGAAGGCTTTTTTTTCCTCTCTCGTTTTTAATACTTTGTCTCTCATATTTCCCTTTCTTTTGCATTATCTTCTGTCCAATTTCCAGTAAACTTACTATTCACTGATCTTCACATACAGGAAATGTAATGAAGTATTTTCTTACCACATACCTTGGAAATGTTTGGCATTATCATCTAACCAAGAATGAATATTGGCATCTAGTACCCTCTCTGGCTCCACTAGCCATCTGAAGATCTGCAACTATTTCCCACAGCCTTGACTAGCCCAGACTATAAGTCGTAACTGGAAATTCTGCTACTCTTTTGTTTCTTTTATTTAATTTTGGTAAGTAGAACAAAGCCCAACAAAGTATTTTGTTTCCTCTGTGGCCTCCCCATAGGCAATGGCTATATCTCCTATTTCTTTGTTATTCCTTTTTTTTAATTTGTATTTTTTTCATTTTTATGATAAGCCATGAGAGATCTAGTTAGGATGGGTTGGGGAAAACAGAGGAACACGCAGTTTAAGAAAATGGAGAAGTGGGAGCCAGCACATGCGGAGGACAGCTGACATTCCAGGCATCTACACTTTCCATTCTGAGTTACTTCTATGCTCTTCAACAAGCAAAGCCAAGAGGTGAAGATTTGGCTAACAGCAAGGCAAAGTACACTAGCTGACGGTGTTATAAGCTTCTGTTTGTTTATTGCCTTTCTAGCCCAGCAGACCAGATGATGTGGCCAGTACTGAGCTGTCTACATGACTCACACAATTTGGGTTACTAGTAAAAGCCAGCAAGCAATCTCGATACCATCGAAATAAATCCTAAATTTAATGGCATTTACAAGAGCTTTACATGCATGGCAGGTATAAGAATATTCCTTCAAACACACTCCCACATATGCACACAAACACGCATACACACAGAGTAATCTTGATCACTAATGATAAAAACCATCTCTTTCTACAGTTGCTTAGTGGCATAGCCTGGTAAGGAAGACAGTGGTACCCAGTGGAGAAATGTTTGAGAAAGATGTCTACTCTGTTCCATTGTGAGATATTCTTAATATTCTTAGGGTTGGAGAAATGGCGGAGTGACTAAGAATATTTACTATTCTGCAGAAGACCCAAGTTTGATTCCTAGCACTGGGTAGGTCACAACTGCCTGTAACTCCAGTTTCAGGGAATGCAGCACCCTCTTCTGGCTTCCTTGGGCACTGCATGCTTGTGATACCCACAGACAAGCAAGCACACAGGCATACCCATAAATAAAAACATTGTAAAGAATATTCTTAAGAAAGATATTTTGGGGGCTGGAGAGATGGCTCAGTGGTTAAGAGCATTGGCTGCTCTTGCAGAGGACCCGGGTTTGATTCCCAGCATCCCCATGGCAGCTAACACCTGTCTGTAACTCCAGTTCCAAGGGATCTGACACCCTCTTCTGACCTCTCTGGACATTGCACCACATGGGTGTTTCTACCTATATGCAGGCAACATACCCACATAAAATAAAAAATTAAATAAAATATTAAAAAAGAAAGGACATTTCCTTCCCCTTTTCTGTTCTTTCATCCCATGTTTAAAAACATCAGTTTAAAGTTTAAGATAGAACTGGTAATGCCACTTACTGTACTTCTTTTTCTTTTCAAAGATAAGGTTAGACCAGAAAGCAAAAATCTCAGGGTTAAATCCTTTTGAGAACCATGTTTGTATTCAACTGAGCTGTTTCAACAGCAGCAGTGGAGTCAGCCAAATGTAATAAAACGCTCAACTTAATTAAAAATGTAATATCGAGGGCTCTTATAATCTGTTTTTGTTTTTTCACATCATTCTTTCCTCAAATCATTGCCAACTCCAGTTAAATTCACTTCGTTATACAAATCCAAAAGTTCAAGAACTGTGCTTTAGGAAAGACAGACTCCAAAATTTAATGTTATTGTGCAGCTTTCTTGGAGTCATAAAAATGCCCACTTTCCCTCTCCATCTCTTCCAATGATTGTTTACCGTGAGCTACTTGGGTGCCTGGTTTATATATCCTTCTTTATAAAACAGCGAACTAGTATCTTACTATGGTAGTTACAAAGAACTGGAATGAAATCCAATTTCTATTTTATATACTTAATCTACTAAATGCTGAAAAATTATGTCTAGTTGTTCAATGTTATATAAAGGGATCATCCAGTTAAGAACCTTAAATATTAGGGGCTATTTTATTTGGCTAAAAAAATTTTATAGAGAACAAATTTTGTGAATGAATTGAATCTTATTTAATTGAAAAATTAGAGCTGGGTGTGGTAATTACACACTTTTACTTCCAGCACTCAGGAGTCTGAGGCAGGAGAATTAACATGAATTTGAGGTCAGCCTCGGGTGTATTGTGAGTTTGAGGTCACTTGAGCTACCTAGCAACAACTAGTCTGAAAGATAGGAAGAGATAGAGATCACATAAAGCCATTCATTTGTAAAATAACCATATAACTTAGTGCATGGAATGTCCTCTTTTAGTGACCCATTCAAAAGTTCTTCTCTGAAATTCTAGGTATTTCTTGGGGGAGGGGGTGAAATAGTCCTTTATGTCCATCATTATTTTCTACATAATTCATAATGTTGCTACTGTTTAAGGTTTGGCTTTATTTTAGGGAAACAACAACAACAACAACAATAACATTTGGCAAGCCCAGGGCCCTGGCACCAATACTTCCCCAAAAGGGCAGCAGGGTTTCATTAATTGGCAAAAGTCCTGTGGAAAACCACAGGATCAATCCCAGTCTGTAACGATAAACATACCCCAGAGGATATGCTTGCTTTGTAAAATGAAAAAAGAAACGAGGCCATTGTTTGTGTGTCAAGTTACATGTTAATTACAGTTCTTTCTCTTAGGACAAACACAAGCATCTCTTCCTCCTGGTTCTTGAAAAAATTCTGATGGAATAAGAACTTAATGTATAAAATGCTTTTATTAATTTAAAGTCTACTAAAATAATTTCTTCAATGGTTTCTGTCCAAGTGTATCGGTTCATGAGAAATTAATACAACCTTCTAAGATTTCAGGTTCTCTCCTGTCCTTTTCTCTCCGCTGACTGTCATTAACCTTATGCTTCAGTAGCCTTGTGCCTTATAGGGAGACCCAGCTCTGGGAAGATTTTCACTCTGGGTCTGAAACCCTCTGTTGCAGGGGAAAGGTGGTGAACGCAAACAGTGTACTATACTATTTGCAAAATGAAATCTTAGTACGAAATGGTACTGAGTTTTTCTGGTCTGAGATTTTCTGATATCTACACCCACTATGTCTGAAATCAAGGCTCTGCCATAGACAAGGAGCACCTGCCACACAACACCCAGGCTGCCAGTTCAGGCCAAGCTCCACTGATGACCCACTTGCTTAATTCCAAAAACCCAAGAAAGTTAATATTTGAAGGAAGACCTATGTTTCAAATAAATTTTGCTGAAATAATTCAAGAAAAATCTCCTGTGTGGTTTCGATAGGGTTCATTTTATCTTTGGGTTTATCTGTTTATAATGCAAATATGTCTTGCTAATTCAGGAAAACGACATGCTTAAGGGAGCCTTGCTTAATTCCCAGTGCAGCTTGTGGTGAATGAAAAATCAAATAAAAGATAAACATTAGAAAGCTTTTAAAGAATTAAAAAGCTCTATGCTGGTTAATGAGGGTATTTTTAGGTTGAAGATGAATGAGCTGTTGTATGTGTTCATGTGTGTGTGTGTGTGTGTGTGTGTGTGTGTGTGTGCATGTGTGGGGGTCGATGGGGTGGAGGTTGAAACATTTACACTTGCTCTCCTGCACCCTGAGCAATACATATTTCCAGCTCCCACGACAGGTATTACCTGTTCCAATAAAGCCTTAGCCTTTTCCTCTGCTTCCTTCAGGCAAATTGCCAGGTGCTCAAGTGGGTCCAAAGTAAACGCCATCTGTTCTCTGTCTGATGACTCTCCCTTTAAAACAATAATCAAGTATCAGTTTTTGGTAGGAATAATTTCCCGAGCACTTTTTGAACAACTTTAGAACAAAAGATATGTTTACTTCACAGACTCATACCAATCCTCCTCTTGTCTCAATAGTAATAAAATAAGTCAGAAAGTAAGGTAAACATTAAATGACAATAAACAGCTTCTGAAAGTGAGAATAAGGTGACTCATGTTAGAATTTGGTTAATCTGCAAGTTTTGTGATTACTTTAAGAAGTTAGGATTAAAGTTTCACATCCTAATGGGAGACATTACCACATATCTATATGTTGAACATTCATCTATCAGGAAGGTCATTTGCACTCAGAAAAACCCCGAGCCCTTCGAACATTGCCTTTCTATTCCAAGTGTTATTACAGCAAAGACAGCACGTGGTTTGGAATGAAATCATTCTTCCCTGCAACCGGCTAACAGGACTCAAATCAGCAGACATATGAACCTTGCCTCTCAAAATCATTCTAAAGTTACTTTTTCTTAGCTACAAGCCGAGTGTACAAAATTGGCCTAGAAATAGTTATAGACTGCATTGAAACCTAAGCCCTTCCTAACCACTCTTTGACTTATGAGACAACCAATATTTACAGAGCAATATAAAAGTTTAACATGGAAAGTCTCAGCTGTGTGAGGACCATGGCCTCCCTGGGTGTCTTGTTTTCCTGCCTCTGTCCTGCTAGGGCAGCTGCTTCTACTTAATCCTACAAGGAGTAAGTAAACTCTGGTCCTACATATTCTAAAGATCTGACCATAGCTTTGTTTTCCTCCTTTGGCTTATGTTTATGACACAAACAGTTTTACACATGTGTGCATTTCCTGGTGATACAATAGAGCCACCTGGTGGCAAAGAACCAGCCATTAAAAATAAAGTCTTCGTTCTGTTTGTTTGTATGCTGAACTTTGGGGCTCTGCTACCAGCCTCTTAAAACCAAGGGAGCGCCATAGGATGAGCAATAAAGAGGTGCTGCTAAGGCACAACCAGCTTGGCTCCTAGAACAAAGCCTGACATCCATAGCTGCATGATCACTCTTTAAAGTCTGCTTGGGTCAATGTGAACCAATGATCCTCACTATACCAGGATGATTCAATAATTTGAAGAGTGTGTTCAAATATTCCTCCAAAACCACCCTCAAAACAACGTTTATATATATTCTAAAACATTTTATACAAGAGGTCAAATTGTTCCAAAGCGATTGTAAATCCCTGCTCTAGACTGCTATCAACCAGGGAGAAGAATCTTCTCCGAAGTGTGATCCCAAGAGGAAGATTTTAAAATCTATGTGAACAAACTTAAGCTGATCAATCAGCTAACCCGTTTCTTTAAGTCTTTTTCTCTAAACACCCCAAATTTCCCCAAGCCAAGAAAGACAATCACTTCCAGTAAGACAAAAGAATTGCAAAGTCAAAGCCAAATGAAACAGGCTTAGCTGAAGAGGCTGCTGTTGAATAACAGGGCTTTTCAAGATGCAGACGAATTTAGGAATTTGTCTTGTGTTACAGAATGGTGCAAAGACTGAGCCAAATGCAGAATGCAGAGCCTGTCTCCTGCCCCCAGCCAGCTTCAGGTTAGCCGCTGCACTTTCTTAAGCTGTCCCAAGTGCCCTAAAGGCCAGCTCTTCTCATAGGAGACAGCCTCAGTAGCCAAAGGAAGAGACCAATTCAGGAATAAGCAAAACATGCAGCTAGAAATTGAAGGGAGGGTTTCTGGGTTTCAAAAGCCCTAAAAAAGTTAAGCTTAGTAAGTCGTCACCCATTTTGTAGGATGCAAAGGCAGAAGAGCAGAGGTCAGATTTATCAAATGATTAGTTGGAATCCACTTCCAGACATACGTAGACACAAGCAAATTTGTGTTCATGATAAATATGAACACTCAGTGGTTTAAAGGAATGGTCAGGTGAACTATGCTGAAAAACAGTCTGCTGGAGAAAAACAAAACAAAAAAGTTGACAAGAATTCAGGAAAAAGGAACCGTTATGCGTTGCTGTGGGAAGGTAAATTAGCTCACACTACGAAAGTAAGTACAGAGGTTCTTCAAGAAACCAGAAATAGAACTGACATATGATCCACCTAAACCACTTGGATATATACCCAAAGGACTTTAAGTCAGCATGCCAGAGAGGTACCTGCACCTGTACATCCATGCTTCCTGCAATGCTGGTCATAATAGCCAAGCTATGGAATCACCCTAGATTCCCACCAACATGAGAATGGATAAAGACGATATGGCACATGTACACCGTGGAGCTTTATTTAGCCATAATGAAGAATGAAATTATGTCATCTACAGGAAAATGTAGGGAACCGGTGACCACCATGTTATTTGAAATAAGCCAGTCTCACAAAGACAAATGTGGCATGTTTTCTCTCATATGTGGAATGGAAGAAAGGGTAGAAGACATGAATGTAGAGGGGGGACCCTAGGGGTGTGGAAGGGGGAGAGGGGGTGTTGAAAGGAGAGTAAGAAAGTGTAACCGAGGAGCCAAATATGATCAAAGCACACTATATGCATGTGCGAAAATGACATAATGAAAATAAAGGAGGCTGTTACATGGCATCACAATGCCAAAAATACAGATGACAATACTGTGCTTGGGTTAAGGCTGTATGTGGTTTCCAAGTGGTAAATTCCAGTAATTTAATAATATTTATTTCTGATTTTTACTTCTGGGTCTTAAGTTTTTCTACCAAAATGACAAGTCAATAACTTCCATACATGTAGCCAAGGTGGTCAGACTAAAGCAAGAGTACATGTTAATCATCAAATTAATTCTTTCATTACAGTAAAGATGCCACATTATTATACAAATGAATGTATATTTGGGTAGTATTAACTGAATAAACCCTATATGAAATTGTAAGCATAAGGCTTCCTTTTACTTGCAGAAGTTCTCTCTCCATCCTGAAATGCTTTCACTCATCTGCCTTAGTCATATGAGCTCCTTCAGTCTGTGAGAGCTGGTTCAAGATCTTTGATGGAGACAACTTGACGTTCTGCTCCTCGTCTGGCTCCTGTGTGCAGAGGCTACCTGGGACTTTGCCGAGCACGTCATAGGAGCCAAATAAATAACTATTGATTGATCAGAGAGGTGCAGCAGCTTGGCGAAGATGGCTGTATCAGAGGAGCCCGTCCTTCATGCTGAGAGTCAGAGACAATGCCTTCTTTGAGCAATGCTTTTCAATGTATCCGGCCTGGAACACTGACAGTGTTCATAGCCCTTGGGAAGTTCTGCTTGCCAGGGCCGGGGATGGGACAGGGCAGTCGGGGGCAAGGACATGACCATGGGGACGGGTGATGATGGGACTGAATGATAACCAAGTAAAGTAAGTAGATACTTCAACAGATGAAGTATTCAGTAAAATTAATAATTTCATTATACCAACTTTAAAGAGAACTTAAAGAGAATATTTGGCTTTAAAACCTTCTAGCTGAATAAAAGAACTCTACTAAAGGAGAATTTCTATACGGACACTTTTGTGACAACAAGTGATCAAAACAGCAGCCATGGGAAATTCACCAAGTATGTAATTAAACACAAAGCTAATGCAGTCAGTATGTGCAAACACATTTATTTCAAAGCAAGACTGCTAAATTAAAATGTGGTCACAAATTCTACCTTTATAGAAGAGCATTTTGACATAGGTGAGTTTTAGAGACAGTATCTCAAATGATCTGAGGCTTCGAACACGCCAGGTCCCAGCTCTGAGGTACAGTCACTTCCTTCCATATTAAATATGCTTTTCACAGAGTTTGCACTGGTTGGGCTTCCTGTCTCGAATCTCATGTCTTCATTGTTTCTGTCCATTCTTCTTTCCTCTTGCTTGATAGCTGCTTAGGGGCCTGTGATTTCTCAGCTGTCATCAGCCTGCACATACGTCCTGCAGACACTAGTCCTTCCCTGTCATCCAGCATCTCCGTAGCTTTGCCCCATTCCTCATCCCCTTATAAAAGCACATTTATGTCATTCCTGCTCCCTTATCTTTCAGGATCAGAATTCACTCACAGTGGAAATTTCATCCCTCTCCAGGGAAACAGTATTTGTCTAATTGGGGGTGGACTTATAAGCAATCAATAAGATAATAAAGTTCAAAACATGAACAAGTCAAAGCTGGAGGTTGTAGAAAGTGTCCATCAATACAACTGAGCAGGAGGTGCATAGAAAGATTTGTAGAGCGCACTGTCAAGGGAGCATTCTGTCTGTCATGTGGAAGGTTGCATTCTCTGTCTATATAACTTGATTCAGTGACTCTGTGACTTCACTTGTCTGGATGTCTGCATCTCCATCTTTCAGCGAAGAATGTATTTCCTAGCAGCAATCAGCCAGTTCGATTTTTCCAAAGGACTGATTGTTGAAAGTTAAAAGAAGGGACAATTTGCAAAAGCATGGATGTGTCTGTGTGCAACAGAGGACGGTGAGGCCTGCCCTAGAGGCACAGACCCCCTTAGCCATACTTTTACCTGAGAAGGGTAGGAGAGGAAGTTCTGAGCATCACGGATGGATCTAGACAAAATGCATAGTGCAGGAATACAGCCACTGCCCGCCTGTGCCCAGGCAGTGTAATAAATAGCCTGACCTCTCTCACTCTGCTTTCCTACCTGTCAGGAAAACCTGACAAGAAGTCAAAGGGCAAGAGAGTCTGAACAACAGGTGGAGGGAGCAGAGAGGAACAGAGGGAAGGGGACCAGGGGAAAGAGGTATACACAGAGAACCCTTGGTCCAAAGGGATTTAATTCCACTCCTGTAACTCCAAGGGCAGGCCAAGGAGCAGGGCTTGTGATAGTGTTTCCAGTGGTCAACAACAAAAGCATGAAAGCAAAATTTAAAAATGACATCACTCTCTGTAGAAGGCTCTTATTCTATCTATAACAAATTTTGCTGTGATTTATAGGAATTGTTGCATGTTAGTATGCATTTTTGAAAAAGAAAGAGAGAGAGAGAGAGAGAAAGAAAG